GGAGGGGTGGGGTGTAGTCTATCAGTGCTGAGGGAGGGGTGGAAGGTACGGTATTATTACTCAGGGAGGGGTGAGAGACGGACTATTACTACGCAGGGAAGGGTGGGAGGTGGTTGCAATGGTAAACGCTACAGGTAAATGGAGCTTTTCCTTGATCATACAAATTATTTTAATCGACTTTTCGGCTTAATTTTTTTATGCCAAAATGGGCCGCGGCATTTCTTCCTTTTTGTCTAAAAATGCAACTTGAATCAAGGAGCCGAAATGTTCTCACCCAGGGAACCGGTAGCAGGTTCATTTCAACACACGCTGTGACCACGCAGAGGAGCATCAGAGGCAGCCTTATTGGTTAGCCGCGCATTTGCGTTCGTCTTCAGTTGGTATAAAGTAGTCATTGCTTCATCAATGTGCTTGTCCTAGGGAGTTCTTCAACATTCAGTCCGCACATTAATCATAGCGGCCAAGATAATCTCACTAACATTTTTTTTCGAGCTCCAATATTTCGGTCCGAACTTGAAGCTCGCTCGAACAAAAACAATACCAATACGGTTGGTACAAAATGCAGACTGCAGACCAGGTACAAAATGCAGACAGCGAATTTATGTTTTTTTTGTCTGATACGTGACAACATGTCAACTTACAACTTAGCGAGCGTCAGGCAATCGCTTTTACACGATTGTCGTTCACGATTATTTGCACTGTTGTGGAATACTCCTTGCCCGTTTCTTGATCACAATCGTTCCTAATATAATTTCAAGCCTTCATGCAGTCTTCTCACTTTGCGCTTTCGTGAGTGGCCATTTGTTTACTTCTCTAATGGTTTTATCTCTCATCTGTTTGGTGACAACGCAAATATTAACATGTGAAAATCAGACTATGTGAAGGCTTGAAATTCTATTAAGAACGATTGTGGCCGCTTTTTTAAAAACCAAATACAATGGCCGCTTTGTCAAAAACAAAAGATATCAAGAAACGGGCAGGGAATATTTCACAATGATGGAAATGATCGTGAAAGACGAAATTACTAATTAATTAGTAATATTTAGCAGTAAGAGCAACATCTGATGCCTGATTATGCACACCCAGCCCATCCTAGGCCCCACAACACACGCACACCAACAACAAGGACACTGTCTGCCTAATGACCTCTGCCCATCCCACTTCCAGCCCGCGCCACCTTTTTCCAACTTCCATCACGACGAATGCACAAGTTTTCTCATCACACCACAGTTCATGAACGCGTCACGCGTTGTGTGACTCGGTGTTAAGTTACGATAGGATTCCTTGAAAATTTGAACACGTTATAAGGAATAGTATGGGGAACGAAATATTGTCGATTTACAACAGTAAATATTTCGAAATATGAATATTTTACACGTAAAATCAATAATACTTACTCACATCCTGTGTGACCGTTGTAGTTTCTGGCGATTTCTTCCGTTTTAGGCTTGCTTTACCATCACTGTTAATCCTGTCTAAACATAGGCGGCCCAAGCTCCAGCTGTGAGATGATCATCTTGCGCAATAACAGTCATGGCGGAATTATAAGAGTTTGTATGGGCATATTTACGACCGCCCTCAGGAATAAACAAAATACGTCAAATTCTCAAAAAAAAATACCTCACCTTACTTCCACAGTGTATCATTTGTTATCTGACCGCTTGCTTTGATGAAAAGAGCCCATTTTAGCGAGTTGTTCATTTCGAGGTTTTCAACGTTCATAAGAAAAGCCCAAGGCTGAACACTCCATTTCCGAATGCCTGAGCCGAGAAGCGAAAAATCCAAGCTCAAAATGACCGGGCGACCACAAATCCAACGCAGAATCCAAGCAAATATACTGTAGTTTCATTCCAATTCACTAAAAACTCAATCTTCCCCGCGCAACCGACACTAAGCCGAAGTTTGCTTCAAAAATTTCCAGTTTAGAGGTTTCTAACAGCCCGCGGCCACATCAACCTTGACACACGACCGTTGAAAACCAGCTTGGTAACCCTACCTCCTTTTCGAACTGAGCCTCGCCGGGGACCATACCGTCAGTTATGACTCAAAAGAAATCGATCAAGAGGCTATTGTTTCGATCGACCAATCGAATTCGCCTCCGGAAATGTTTTACAAATCTGTGATTATTTTCGGAGTCAGAGGAAAACCTTGGAAGGATTTATTCCAGTATTCAATTTAGTTCTATCTGGACATACTTAGTTTAATTTTGCCAACAAGACAACTGTTATTTCGTTTCGTCCGCATGGATATCCAGCAACAATACTTACCACGATTTCCATTTCAGATACGAGTTCGAATTGATTACGTCCTTGCTGCAACCGTGGAATAGACTATTTTTTACCGACGACATTTTTTCCTTTTGAAATTGAAAGGAAATTATCGAGATTTACGAGATCAGCTGTGCTGTTTGCAACCATGCCTGTAAATTATTTTGAATTTGTAAACATTTCCGGAGGCGAATTCGATTGGCAGTTTTGCATTCGCATGGTAAAAGAACTGCCCAGCGTAATAGCCCAGCTCAAAAAAATAGTCAGTCGAAAAACCGCTCATTTGTATGATCCAATAAATACTCCATCAATCAGTAGCATTTACTTCTATAACCACCTCCCACCCCTCTCTACGTACTACTAACAACAATCTGCCTCTTATCCCTCCCTAAGAACTGATAGACTGCATCCCACCCCTCCAAGAATACTAATGGTGCCCCCTCCCCCCATAAAATGGTCCAAAAATAAATGGTCCAAAAATAAATGGTCCAAAAATAAATGGTCCAAAAATAAATGGTCCAAAAATAAATGGTCCAAAAATAAATGGTCCAAAAATAAATGGTCCAAAAATAAATGGTCCAAAAATAAATGGTCCAAAAATAAATGGTCCAAAAATAAATGGTCCAAAAATAAATGGTCCAAAAATGAATGGTCCAAAAATGAATGGTCCAAAAATAAATGGTCCAAAAATAAATGGTCCAGAAGATGGTCCGAAAAAATGGTTCAAAAATAGTCCAAAAAATAGTTAAAAAAATAGTTCAAGGGCCCAATGGTCCAGTCGATATTTTACCCCATGCCCTCGGACGGCCCCGGACCAGTGGAATGAAAGCGAAGCTAGTCACACCTTTCACTTCTTGGATAAATTTTATTTTGACTACGCGTCCTTGAATCTATCTTGTTTTGTCGATTCATTTCGCCTTCGTACTACTGCAAACCCAACTGCAGATCAGAAAGGATGTACTTCATTATCAGGAGACAAAGTTTCTTTTATCAATTTTCCCAAGTCACCTTTGTTGAGAAAAAAGTAGGTACACGCGATCCGTCGAGACAAAAGCAACGATTTCGTCATGACAGAGCGTACGAAAGTCTTTTCGCCGCATTTCATTTTTACAACTCAGACTCTGACAAGGAGGATAATGTTCAGGCTACGAGGAAAAGACGCCCCCGTACTGAAGCCACTGGACGAATTTTTTTCTATTGTGCTTTGTCGCTTGAGGAGAGGTTTCTCTGAGAAACATTTAGGTCATCTTAACAGTGTAGTTCAGTCTGCTGTGAGCCAAATTTTCGTGCAATGGATAAATTACATTTACTTGAAATTTTGCCAGAAATGCATTTGGCCATCAAGAGATGGAAACTATGCTGACCGATTTTCAGGACAAATTCTCAACTACAAGAGTTATCACAGACAGCACAGAAGTGCGCTGTGAAATGTCCAGCAGTTTGCTGCTCAATTTGGAGTTATTTAGCTCCTACAAGAACCATGTAACTCTGCAAGGACTAGTGGATATAACCCCAAGTGGTGCAATCACTTTCATTAGCCAGCTTTACACTGGTATCACTTCTGGTCGCGAAATCGTTCTTCAAAGTGGTTTGTTGTCTCAGAAGTTTGAGGATAATGACAGCGTCATGACTGACAAAGGATTTCAAGTTCAATACATTTTGCCACTTCGAGTAAAATTGAACACTCCACCTTTCCTTGGGGACGACAGTAGAATGTCGAAGACAGTCGAATGTCTGGTCTGGGGATATGTGTGGAGAGGGCAATAATCAAAATCAAGCACTTCCTCATCTGGAAAGGAAAAATTCCTTTAAGATTGCTCGTAGTTGTTAACAAGATGTGGAGTGTGTGTACCTTCCTTTGTAATGCTCAAGATCCATTGATTTCAGAATAGGTTGTATCATTTCTATCAATATTTGTGTAGTTCCAGGAATTTCTATACTTCTCACAGAAGGGGAGTATGGTGTGAGTTCTCAAAGACCAAAAAATTTGAAAAAATGTGTAAACTAAGTTTTATTGGAATTTTCAGAGAGGTGGGAGGTTCTTTTAAAAAAAAATCCCTTCTGTGAGGGAGGTACATGTATAGATATTTTACGTAGCTACACACTTTCCTCTCACTTTAGAGAGTTTTTAGGAACAGCCGGCTCTCAAAAACAGCGCGTTGTAAACCCACTGCATTTTCTCTTCTAACTCTTTCTTCTTGAGCTAACCTTAAAAAGCTTCATAAGATACACAATAATTAATTGTTTTCTACCACTGGCAGTCAACTGTTATATGGCTTTCCAGAGTTTAAAAATGACATGATGAAAAAATACTGCTATTTTTTAAATTTATTCTATTAAGTCACAGAATCAACCAAACAGATTCTCCCTACATTTCTGGTACATTTCTTTACAACTAATTGAGAGAATTGATATGTTTGATCGTGTTTTAATGGAAATATAGATATTTATTATTTTATCAAATGCTAAAATAAGTTTCCTTATATTTTAAAAGTGTTCTCAGTATAAAATTCATTTTGCATTATTTACCATCATTATTCAGATCTTATGTTCTCATCCAAAGCTTTAAAGTATAAACATGTAAATGGAATCGGAAAACATCTCTTTGATAACTGTTGTGGAAGTCTTGGAATTGTGTAACCACTTCCACTCGCATGAACACAGCTCAGTTTTATTGTTGGGTAAATTTTTCAAATGTTGTGAAAATTTTAACGCAATCTTTGATAAATACCCAAATTATGAAAGTTATCATGGTTTACTTTGTACATGTCCCAGTTAGTGACTGAAGTATTAGCTTTCATTTGTAAATGTTTAACCAAGAATTCAAGGCTCCCTGGCTGCCTTGGCATGAAAATGTGTTAAGTAACCACAAAGTCACACTATCTAGCGCCAGTAACCCCTATCAGTCCCTGCACTTGAGTATAGTATGACTGTGTTTCAGTTTGGCTTTACCATTGACATTCTCTAGAAAAAAACTGCTTTCTGAACATGCATCTATTGGGGTGACCAGCAATTTTGTTTCTGGACACTTGACCTCTAAAAGGCCAAAGGGGGATGAGCAGCCAATATTAATAACTCCATCAGGTGAAGCACCCAAATATGGTGCATCCAGACTCATTACTAGACCTGATTTCAGGACTTGTACAGGACAATGGATGGAAAACATGTACCTTTGATACTGCTCTAGGGCATCTGTTTTATATTGAATCCCATGATTAGCGTACTGCGATGTGAAGGGCATGGGATGTAACAGACTTTCTACAAAATTCTCCAGATGCCTTTTCCTTGCAATAATCAAGCCAAAGTTTGAAGATGTGAATCTAAATTTTCATCCCTTCTTCCACTCCTCGCAATTAGATTGCTTCCACGTTTTCTTTTCAATTTCACTGATTCTGTCTTCATTGACCCAAAGCCTTTTCAGAAAGGTTTTGTTTACCTCTGGTATTCCATTTGGCACGATGAATCTAGAAAAACCATTCATCGGCTCATTGTGGGTGCGGCCTAGGTTACACCTGGGTACTGATGCAACCTTGCCAACAACTTGTGCCCATCTGCTCTTTGACCTTGATGCTTTTATTTGTCCTGGTTTCGTATAATAGACACCCCACCCCAGGTTCTCTTAATAAAGATTTGTCTAAGTACGGATGAGTTTTTTGAACTACAACTTCTATAGGTGTTGTGGAACTATAGTGTCCCCTCTACCCTTTCGATACCACTGCTGCAATATAGATGTGCAAGCCTGTTTTCGTTTCATGTCACTTTCATTGTCTAAGTCACTGATACTCTTGCATTGATACAGTGTGAACTTGCAGACTTTCATCATGAAGACCAACACATGGTTAAAAAAAACCAACTGCACCGGCAACACTGGTTCTACCTCACCATTTACAATGCACAGAGCCACTTTTAAGTTATGAGGTGGATCATTCTTTTTGAAACTGTGATGACATTGCAACTTGAGAGAAAAATAACTGTCGTCACTTGCTGCCACGATTTCTTTCAAGTATTCGTCTTAAAGGAATGCATTTCTAGCACTCGTTGAAATAGAGCGGGTGCGGGTGTTGGAGTCAATACTTTTCCTTGACTTTGATATATGTTCATTCATTTCTACGCGAGTGAAGATTCTTCGCATTCTGGTGAGATCGATAGACCAGCCATCAGATGGATACTTCAGTTGTGATTCACCGGAAACACTCGAATTGGTGTCTTTGCTCGCCGCTTCGTTGTGTTGTTTCCTTTTCGTGTAAATCCTGTTCGGATCTGGATCGACAATGTTCTGATCACGGCCAGACTTTATATAACCTTCAATCCTCTATTGAAGAAAAAGGAATTGTATTAATTCCGAATAATTTTTGTATCGAATCCAAGCCAGATGGGTTTGGTTTTCAAACCCTTTTAACGAATCTCCGCGACATTTCAACCAGAGCCGATGTTCTTCGTTTTTCAAAGTCGCAGGTTCTCTTCCAGCCAGGGAAGCACCGGGAATATCGTCTTCTGACAAAGCACATGCAGCCACACGTGATGATCAAAACTTGCTGGGAAAGCCACCGTGGAGGAGTGACTAACCTCGCTTTCACGCTGCCAGTCCTGGGCCATCCGAAGGTCCGCCATATTTGCATTCGGTGCATGATCAAGTTAAGGAAAAGGTTTTTTTTTTACTCACAAACTCTTCACCGTTTTTCTTATATTTCAACGTAGACTAATTGTCAATTGCAAACTACTCATGCCACCTTCATTTATCTACCTACCTGTAACTAAGATGGACCAAAAAAAAAGGAACATCGTTTACAATTTTATTTAGCTCTTAAATTCGTTGTCATTGTGCCTCAAAATTCTGTGTTATTTAATTTATTGTGGCTGATTACTTCTTTAAAATAATATTTTTAGCACGCTTTTACTGTCTGAAGAAAATGCCCGAATGTGACCTTGAAAAGGGAACTTGTGAAAAAACTTCAAAAGGAGAGTTCACTTGTAAATGCAAACGTGGTTACCATGGAATCGACAACTACTGCTTGGGTAACTAATTAACCTCGTTTTAATGATATTATCATTGCTTTAGATGAGCAAAATGAATAACTTCACTTTGATAACCAAGATTACGTCATCGAACATTCCCTTTAAACTCTGCTTGTTTGATTTGTGTCATCACATAGATTGTTGGCATTAACAAATGTTTCTTTGCACCTTGAAATTAAGCCTTTTGTTCACCATACATTTCCTAAATAATTGACAAAGAGAATTTTTAACTATCAAGAGCAGCCTTTTTGCGTGGTGAATATTTTCTTTACTTTCATCATCTCAGTGTTTGATTTAGTTGTGACACTGTTTGGAGAAATTAGATGCTTGTTGTTCTTGAGGGTTCAAAGTTCAAACACAATACACTTCATAATTATGGATTATATATTCAATTTAAAAGAAATCTAAATAAGCCCTTGCGTAAATCTAAATCGTAATGAACATGTTGTTCCACATGCAAAAGTCACACTAAGGTTCTTTTTCTTTAGATATCAATGAGTGCCAGAATGATATATGTAATAAAAATGCAGAGTGTAAGAACATTCCAGGAAGTTACTCATGTACTTGCAAGAAAGGATTCCAAGGAAATGGCTTGTCATGCTCGGGTATTTAATTAAGTTTAGCATTTAGTGTTTTCTGATCCATGGCATTCTAATGATGGTACACCCAGTCGTATTGAAAATTTTGTAAATTTGTATATCTCTTCATAATGAGCACTCGATTGCGAAAAAGAACCACTGCAGTCTGAACACGGAAAACAACCCAGATATATCTTCTTTCCTCCGGTTTGAGACCCATTGATCCAATGTGTATGATTTTCCTCAATAAGTCTAAAACTCCTCGGGATAGTTATTGAAAACATATCCTATATCCAATTATATTAAAAAAGACCACTTTTTGCCAATTCAGACGTGTACATAGAACCCCCACCCACCCACCCCCCACAACGTTATGTTACGTTAATAATGTTAGAAAAGTGTTCAAAGCGCACAAAATTGAACATTTTTCAGGGGAGAGGCGAGGAGTAATTCGACACGTTGAATGTCACGAGACTTTTAATCTCCTCTTTAGTTCTCAACTGTACTTTATCGACTGAGATTATGCTCATTTTTCTTGGAGGGAATGTTATTCTCGAATACTAAGCCTGGATCTCCAATCAGAGCTTTTTAGTCTGATCGCATGATCAAAAAGGACAAAGGCAAAGTGATTTTGTTTCATCAAATGATTTGATAATGTAAATTGTAGTAACTTCGGAGAATAATCTCCTTAGTCACCCTGAAAACAAACGGAAGCCTGCAGACTTTCCACACATCTAGACAGCTGATCGGAAAGCCGTAAAACTCTAGAACTAAATTTATCTTTCAAATCGGCGCTCCCACGGTATCAACCAACGCTTTTCAATATTCAGCAAGTTTATTCCTGTGTTTTTCACATTGCTAAGGTCCCACTACCAATACAGCTTGATTTTTCTATTTATAAACCGTACACAACCCACAATTCCTCTATTTACATTGACTGAGGGCTAACGCTCGTAACGTCACCTTTACAATCTCTTTCTTTCGGCTGCTTGTAATACACTCCAGCGACCCAACATCACAGTTTCTGAAGAAACTTGCCCCTTTCAAACGAAGGTAAAGTAGTCTTATTTGTGCAGTACCATGTTGTCTAATGTCTAACTTTGCTTGAAGATATCGACGAATGTAAAACTAGAAGGGCGTGTGGTAAAAATGAAGAATGTGTGAACTACGAGGGATCATTCTTGTGCAACTGTAAGAGCGGGTACTACGGAAATCCTCCATCTGAAAAATGCAAAGGTAAAATATTCATTCTGTTAAGTTGAGAATGAGAGAAAGAAACGCGATTCTTGATTAGAAAAGGAAAGCTGTCATAATCTTAGTGATAGATAAAAAATTATCCACTTAGGTGGAGGTAAAAATCCGCCACTTTTACGAGGGTCTCAAAGGGGTTATCCGTAAAACAGCTAAAAAATTAGCCCTCGGTATTTTTCCGCTTTCTAAGTGGGAGAGTATTCATATGTGATAACTTAAAAAAAAAACAAAAAAACAAGGAAAATATCAAAGACAGATTGCCCACACCCGCCCTTGTTTGACATCGATTCAGCCAAATATTTGTTGCAGATTTTACTACTCTTTGGATTTCCGGATATTTCACTGATCAATTCTTCAGTAGAATCAAGAGAG